TGCTGCTGAAGTGGGAACATTAGTGTTTCCTTTCTCAGTGTAGTCCTACTTTGGATGAGCGGCTTGAAATCTTGCAGATGTGCTAGGAAGGATTAATCAATAAGCAGGAGAATCCACAAATCCAAAAATTCCCTCCTCCCCCTGCTCCCCTCCCGTCCCCACCCTCCTCCACCCCCCCAAAAACAAAAAAAAAAGAAAGCAGAGATGGAATTGCAAGACACAAGAGAAGACAGTTTTAGGTCGGAGGAAAACAGGTGCAGGCTGAGAACATGGTGTTTGAATCATTGCATTGCCTATTGGCAACTTGCCTCCAGAACCTGCAATTGAGTTTCTGAAGTCCTGGCTCTGCACTCTCTGGTTGCCCAGCAGCTGTGAGAATTCTTGGAGTGATGTGTTTCCTGTTGCCAGTTGCAGCTGCTTGACCCAGGCTGCTGTCTTGTTACTCATGCCACTTACTCCATTAGCTCAGCTAGTCGAGGTCCCTGATGCCGCTCTGAAAGTCCAGTGCTGGTGACTTGCAGCCACAGCGTTTTTTCATGCCTGTTTCCTTTGTGTAGTGCGGTGTTTTACTTATGTCAGTATTGCCGTACCTGTACTTTTTCATTCCAGGCCTATCAGATGCGGCCTTCAATTATTTTCTTTGACGAGATAGATAGTCTTGCTCCCGTGTGGTCCAGTCGTCAGGATCAAATTCATAGGTACGGCATTGTTTTGCATTTACACGTAGTCTGCTTGATCTCTGTGAAAGGAAGACCAGCCTGGTTACCTGTACATGACACACTAATTCATTCTGCAATCTTGTAGCACAGTGATGCTCAGTTTCACGTGATTCTGAACACAGGGGTTGAAAACAAGCTTTGCTAAGCCTGGTGTTAGCACAAGGTCTCGGTTACCCTACCTAGTATTTGTTTGTCTGAACATGAGTCCTTTCACTAGTCAACATCTCATCAAGAAAAGCTTATCCTTTTGAGTGACCACAGGAGAAAGTCATGCCAAATGTAACAGCATTTACTAAACCAACGAATCAAAACTTTTTCCTTTGTTAGTTCTATTGTCACAACGCTTCTGGCACTTATGGATGGCTTAGAGAGCAGAGGAGAGATTGTGGTCATTGGAGCCACCAACAGACTGACTCTGTAGACCCTGCTTTATGGAGGCCTGGGCGTTTTGACAGAGAGTTCCTTTTCAGCCTGCCAAATAAAGACGTAAGACCTTGCAGCTCCAGTTTTTGTCTGCTCCCATGAGCAGGAGAGAGGGTAGCATGAAGCAGTTATCATATGGTTCCCTCCTGTAGAAGTTGTCCTGAAATCCCTGCTGTGATGAGTCCTTGTAGCAGGGAACACTTCAGTGAATCTCTGGCAAAGAGCAGAGATGAAGCACAGGCCAAGCTTGACATTTTCTGGGAGAGTAGTTTGAGTCACAGTTTTTGTTCCTGTTGGTAGTACTTGTAGCAACATGAAACATAGTGCTGGGAGCACTTTGCAGAATGAACTGTGAGAAACGCAAATTTGATTACCTGATGAGTCTGTCTCCATGATATTGGGAGAATTTTCTTTGAGGAATCTCTCCCCACCTAAGCCTTATATTACCCCTTTTTCCCCCAAGAGCATTCAGTCTCATACTTGTGGAGACTCACGTCTTTGTGGAAGCTTTAAATGCCTTTCATTTGCTTACTGGTCCTCACAAACAGTTCAGCGTAGCAAATTGAGAGTCATTGAACTTGGAAGAGCAGGCAGGCTGTTAATAGGGCTGTAAAATGCCTAAAAGGTTAACAGCGTAAAGCTGGCAGTTATGCGAATGTGAGCGTGTTTGGGGGTTGGTTTGTTTTCCTGAGAAAATAACTTAAACCAAATGCAGTCATCTTGTTTGTAGGCTTGAAAAGAGATTCTCAAGATTCACACCAGAGCCTGGAGCCCTAAGCCACGGGACGCATTTCTTGAGGAGCTGGCTGAAAAATGTGTTGGTAAGATCAAAAATGCATTGAGCATTTGAGCAAAAATGCATATGACTGTGTGCTGAAAGAGTCCTAGCTTGTACCAAGCCCCTGTGCCTTGCCGCCAAATTTGCCCATGAGCCAGCTGGCATGACTTGGTTGCTGTCATGGTGGGACGCTTCTGCCTACCTCCCGTTCTTTGTCTCTCAGAACACAGAAGGGCTTTTGGGGCATCTTCCTCAGCAGCAAACTTTTGCCCTGACGATGACTCCCTAAGCACGGGATATCCGCCTGCAAACCCCATAATGGAAGTCCTCTGCAGTGCAGTAACTCTTTTCCAATCATCTATAAAACTGTTCCTACTTGGGCCGCATGCAAAGACTTTACAGGCTGCCCTTTGGAAGCCATGTCCCTGACCTCTTTGTGTTGCCTGAGACTGACGTGACATTTTGATTCTTGTTTTGCTGATCAGGATACTGCAGGGCTGATATTCAGTCTCTCTGTGCTGAAGCTGCCCTCTGTGCTCTGCATCGACACTACCCTCAGATATACACAAGCTGCCAGAAGCTGCAGCTAGACATTGCTGCCATTGAAGTAACAGCAAAAGAATTTGCTGTTGCTATGCAGAAGATGGCACCAGCTTCGCAGATGGTTGTGGCTTCACCTGCGCAACCACTGTCACCCATTTGTAAGCCTCTGCTTCAAAGTGCTCTGGAGAGATTTCTAAAAGCCAGGCAGAGAGTGTTTCCCCATGCAGCGCTTGTGCTAAAGAAGGCTCAGCAGCCAGGTATAACAGTAGCATTCCCTGCCTTCAAATGCTGCCAGAGCAAACACTTGTAGGTTGTGCAGTCAGCAGAAACAAATCTTCCAGTCATGATGGGATTATCTAAATGGTGGAAACTTCTTATTTGCCTACGCATGCCTCTACTTCAGGAATATCTGGAATAGCGTGCCTAGTTTGTACTGAGGCTTCTAAACCAGGAGAAGGAGAGATGAGAGCTGGGAACGCTTGACAATTTGCACTAGTGAACTCTGTGCTCTCTGCTAAAGCATCCTCTTTCTGACGGTAGCCAGCATCATAGGCATCATTGTTAGAGGCTGAGTTAAGGTTTGACGTATGGGGCGCCTCTTTTCCTCTCAGAATAAAAAGCTTCAGGACCAGGATACTAACTGGTAACTGGTTCAGGGAAACATGATCTTGGACGTTGCCATTTTTAATTTAAAAGTTTGCGGATCACACTGTAGGTGTGCATATGAGAGCAGACTATGCAAGCAGAGTATGCTTGGGGGCTTTGCTTGCCTAGGATGTGTGAGCTGCCACTTTGGAGTGCACCAGCCCTGATCAGGTTCAGTCTGTCAGTTAGTGAGACCAAAAGCATTGATGAAGTGCTCCACGCGGTGATTAATGAAGGTTGCTGACTAGTTCTAGGCTGATTCCTTGAGACTATCCTGCCAGTACTACTCTAGAAAGAGCTGTTAGGTTCCTGTGTCTGGGTGAAAGACGGGCAGAAAACCACTAACAAAAGGAAGGCGGAGAGGCGAGGGGGTTGGTAGAAACATGCCCCCTGTGTGGTCCACTTTCCACTGCCTCCTCCTCGAGTGACCTTCGAGAGGCTGCATTTAGAAGATGCGTTGGTCTGTATATGCTGGCCCAGCAGTCCTCAGACAGATGGGAGTTTGCAGCCATGCCATTCCCTTAATTTCCACCCTCTTCCTGTGGGCTCCTGCTCCAGAAAGAAGTGGCCTTGTTGGATCCTTTAGGTGTCTAGCATTCAGTGTGTGCCCATCCAGTGAAGGGATACATGACATTGGGTTTGAGCCCTCGTTTAGCAGCTGAATTAGCGCAAGTGAGGGAGATATGGACTATTCTGGAAATATGGACTCTTCTGAGCGCAGCCAACAGAGGCAGCAAACAGACGCAGCAGTTTGTGCAGCAGTGTCTGGGCTCTGCCTGGGCCTTTTGGGGGCCTTGTTGGAAGTTGTGGAGACTTTCTGGGGACCCCCGAGGAACTAGACGGTGCTTGCTGCTAGCAGGAAGGGAGAGCTGGGCAAGGACTCCTGCAGGGGACCTTGACTTAACTTCTCCTGGGAAGTTCTAGCTAGGTGGGGCTGCTGCTAACGAGCTCTCTGGGCTGCCCTGGTCAGAGGGAGTTGGGGCTTTTGTTTCAGGTGGCTCCTGATTGGGTGGGTCAAGCACCCTTGTGAGTCACTGCTAGGCAGAGGCCTATATAAGAGCCAGGCCTAGAGCGCAGCTCCCAGAGCGCAGCCAACAGAGGCAGCGAACAGACGCAGCAGTTTGCGCAGCAGTGTCTGGGCTCTGCCTGGGCCTTTTGTGGGCCTTGTTGGAAGTTGTGGAGACTTTCTGGGGACCCCCGAGGAACTAGACGGTGCTTGCTGCTAGCAGGAAGGGAGAGCTGGGCAAGGACTCCTGCAGGGGACCTTGACTTAACTTCTCCTGGGAAGTTCTAGCTAGGTGGGGCTGCTGCTAACGAGCTCTCTGGGCTGCCCTGGTCAGAGGGAGTTGGGGCTTTTGTTTCAGGTGGCTCCTGATTGGGTGGGTCAAGCACCCTTGTGAGTCACTGCTAGGCAGAGGCCTATATAAGAGCCAGGCCTAGAGCGCAGCTCCCAGAGCGCAGCCAACAGAGGCAGCGAACAGACGCAGCAGTTTGCGCAGCAGTGTCTGGGCTCTGCCTGGGCCTTTTGTGGGCCTTGTTGGAAGTTGTGGAGACTTTCTGGGGACCCCCGAGGAACTAGACGGTGCTTGCTGCTAGCAGGAAGGGAGAGCTGGGCAAGGACTCCTGCAGGGGACCTTGACTTAACTTCTCCTGGGAAGTTCTAGCTAGGTGGGGCTGCTGCTAACGAGCTCTCTGGGCTGCCCTGGTCAGAGGGAGTTGGGGCTTTTGTTTCAGGTGGCTCCTGATTGGGTGGGTCAAGCACCCTTGTGAGTCACTGCTAGGCAGAGGCCTATATAAGAGCCAGGCCTAGAGCGCAGCTCCCAGAGCGCAGCCAACAGAGGCAGCGAACAGACGCAGCAGTTTGCGCAGCAGTGTCTGGGCTCTGCCTGGGCCTTTTGTGGGCCTTGTTGGAAGTTGTGGAGACTTTCTGGGGACCCCCGAGGAACTAGACGGTGCTTGCTGCTAGCAGGAAGGGAGAGCTGGGCAAGGACTCCTGCAGGGGACCTTGACTTAACTTCTCCTGGGAAGTTCTAGCTAGGTGGGGCTGCTGCTAACGAGCTCTCTGGGCTGCCCTGGTCAGAGGGAGTTGGGGCTTTTGTTTCAGGTGGCTCCTGATTGGGTGGGTCAAGCACCCTTGTGAGTCACTGCTAGGCAGAGGCCTATATAAGAGCCAGGCCTAGAGCGCAGCTCCCAGAGCGCAGCCAACAGAGGCAGCGAACAGACGCAGCAGTTTGCGCAGCAGTGTCTGGGCTCTGCCTGGGCCTTTTGTGGGCCTTGTTGGAAGTTGTGGAGACTTTCTGGGGACCCCCGAGGAACTAGACGGTGCTTGCTGCTAGCAGGAAGGGAGAGCTGGGCAAGGACTCCTGCAGGGGACCTTGACTTAACTTCTCCTGGGAAGTTCTAGCTAGGTGGGGCTGCTGCTAACGAGCTCTCTGGGCTGCCCTGGTCAGAGGGAGTTGGGGCTTTTGTTTCAGGTGGCTCCTGATTGGGTGGGTCAAGCACCCTTGTGAGTCACTGCTAGGCAGAGGCCTATATAAGAGCCAGGCCTAGAGCGCAGCTCCCAGAGCGCAGCCAACAGAGGCAGCGAACAGACGCAGCAGTTTGCGCAGCAGTGTCTGGGCTCTGCCTGGGCCTTTTGTGGGCCTTGTTGGAAGTTGTGGAGACTTTCTGGGGACCCCCGAGGAACTAGACGGTGCTTGCTGCTAGCAGGAAGGGAGAGCTGGGCAAGGACTCCTGCAGGGGACCTTGACTTAACTTCTCCTGGGAAGTTCTAGCTAGGTGGGGCTGCTGCTAACGAGCTCTCTGGGCTGCCCTGGTCAGAGGGAGTTGGGGCTTTTGTTTCAGGTGGCTCCTGATTGGGTGGGTCAAGCACCCTTGTGAGTCACTGCTAGGCAGAGGCCTATATAAGAGCCAGGCCTAGAGCGCAGCTCCCAGAGCGCAGCCAACAGAGGCAGCGAACAGACGCAGCAGTTTGCGCAGCAGTGTCTGGGCTCTGCCTGGGCCTTTTGTGGGCCTTGTTGGAAGTTGTGGAGACTTTCTGGGGACCCCCGAGGAACTAGACGGTGCTTGCTGCTAGCAGGAAGGGAGAGCTGGGCAAGGACTCCTGCAGGGGACCTTGACTTAACTTCTCCTGGGAAGTTCTAGCTAGGTGGGGCTGCTGCTAACGAGCTCTCTGGGCTGCCCTGGTCAGAGGGAGTTGGGGCTTTTGTTTCAGGTGGCTCCTGATTGGGTGGGTCAAGCACCCTTGTGAGTCACTGCTAGGCAGAGGCCTATATAAGAGCCAGGCCTAGAGCGCAGCTCCCAGAGCGCAGCCAACAGAGGCAGCGAACAGACGCAGCAGTTTGCGCAGCAGTGTCTGGGCTCTGCCTGGGCCTTTTGTGGGCCTTGTTGGAAGTTGTGGAGACTTTCTGGGGACCCCCGAGGAACTAGACGGTGCTTGCTGCTAGCAGGAAGGGAGAGCTGGGCAAGGACTCCTGCAGGGGACCTTGACTTAACTTCTCCTGGGAAGTTCTAGCTAGGTGGGGCTGCTGCTAACGAGCTCTCTGGGCTGCCCTGGTCAGAGGGAGTTGGGGCTTTTGTTTCAGGTGGCTCCTGATTGGGTGGGTCAAGCACCCTTGTGAGTCACTGCTAGGCAGAGGCCTATATAAGAGCCAGGCCTAGAGCGCAGCTCCCAGAGCGCAGCCAACAGAGGCAGCGAACAGACGCAGCAGTTTGCGCAGCAGTGTCTGGGCTCTGCCTGGGCCTTTTGTGGGCCTTGTTGGAAGTTGTGGAGACTTTCTGGGGACCCCCGAGGAACTAGACGGTGCTTGCTGCTAGCAGGAAGGGAGAGCTGGGCAAGGACTCCTGCAGGGGACCTTGACTTAACTTCTCCTGGGAAGTTCTAGCTAGGTGGGGCTGCTGCTAACGAGCTCTCTGGGCTGCCCTGGTCAGAGGGAGTTGGGGCTTTTGTTTCAGGTGGCTCCTGATTGGGTGGGTCAAGCACCCTTGTGAGTCACTGCTAGGCAGAGGCCTATATAAGAGCCAGGCCTAGAGCGCAGCTCCCAGAGCGCAGCCAACAGAGGCAGCGAACAGACGCAGCAGTTTGCGCAGCAGTGTCTGGGCTCTGCCTGGGCCTTTTGTGGGCCTTGTTGGAAGTTGTGGAGACTTTCTGGGGACCCCCGAGGAACTAGACGGTGCTTGCTGCTAGCAGGAAGGGAGAGCTGGGCAAGGACTCCTGCAGGGGACCTTGACTTAACTTCTCCTGGGAAGTTCCATTCAGAGGGACCTGGAGAGGCTGGAAAGCTGGGCGGAGAGGAACCTCCCGAAGTTCAACAAGTGCAAGGTCCTGCACCTAGGGAGAAATAATCACATGCAGCAGCACAGGCTGGGGGTTGACCTGGGCAATATGCTCTAGAGGTCCCTGCTTGAGCAGGGAGGTTGGACTAGATGATCTCCAGAGCTCCCTTCCAACCTAAACGATTCTGTGATTCTGTTAATGAACCTCTCTTGTCTTTCAGATGGAACAGATCATATCTTAGAAAATGGTTGTGTGCATAGTGATGAGGAAGCATTCCTTCACTTGAACAGATAAATGTCTGTGTGCCTTTGATTCCAGTTCTTCAGCTTGCTGTGTCTCTGTAAGCAGTCTTGTCTTCTGTAAGTGTGAGGGGTGGTAGACGAGGGAGCAAAGGAGAGATTGTGCAGGGTTTTTTGGTATCAATTAATTGCAAGACACACGCATGAAGATATAACTACGTGCTATGGTTCTAATAAAATAGGTTGTCACAGCCGCTCAAACTGAAGGACCCAGCCTCCTCTTCCTCCACTGAAGACACTCACAGACAGTTAGGGGGCTTGCTGATTTAAACCATGGTATTCCTTAAAGGATCTGAGACCAAAGCACTGTCCCTTCTGTCCTTTTAGCCAAAAAAATCTCTGTGGCTTTGTGCAGTCATTTTTGCCCTTCTAGCTTCCAAGGTTGTGAAACCAGTAGTGGCTTCCATTGTAGGAAGAAATTTGAGAAATGGCTTGTTAAAAGAGGTAATAAAGGGTTTGAAAGAGTATCTTCATTTGTTATCCGTAAGACCATAATTTTACATCAATCTTTTGATTTTTTATGGGAAGTAATTAAATCCCACAGTGGAGAAGGCAGGTTACGTTGCCCCAGTTAGGTCAACTATTTTTCTCAGTTTCTCCTACTGGGAAACCTGACCTATGGAACTATAGGAACTACTATAGTTTAGTCTCTAGGGTCTTTGACTTGAGTGAGTTCAGGAACTGCAGTACTGTGATGGCAAGCCCAAATGCTATTGACAGATGTATTTTAGCATAATTAAGCAAGAATCACTAGAACGTTTTATGTGCAATCTGGATTGCTAAAGAGCACGCGAGGGAAGGAATGCTTCAATGCGATGACTGAAGAAAATAAACATCTTGCAGTTATATGTACTTAGAGTAACATTGCAATTTAAGCCATTTGATTTTGCAATCTTTAGATGCAGCTAGTGTGTTTCAGTGCCCATGTAGCTTTCCCCAGATGTGCTGTTTGTTCTGCTCTTTCCC